GCCTGTAGCGCTTATGGGAGCTCGAAGAAGTGAGGGGGGGAACCCGTGGGAGCGGAAGCAACGACTCGGGCGAGTTGGCCCGAAGGCGCTTCAAAGTGCACCCACAGGTGAAACTGAAGCTTTAGCTGAAGTGAATTGAAACATGGAATTGGCCAACCTTGCAGGTTTGATTAGCAGGGCATCGTTGAGCGGTGCTGCAGCAACCCCAGAGCACAGCCCCCCCTTCCAGAGCATCAGGCTGACAAGTTGGGTTTGCACCCTCATGCCTTGCTGGACTCTCTAGGCGCGTTTTGGCATTGCCACTGCCACCTTCGCCCCCTCGTCAGGGCTACCGGTTCGGGTGATGGCGGCAGCGACAGTGTCGATACCCGACGCGTCCAAGCCTGGCGGGGTGCAGAACCAGTTTGCGTTGAGCCTCATACCCTCTGGGCCGGACGGGGGGGGAAATAGCAGCAGCAGGGAGGGGCGACAAGACCGACGGGGATAGCAACACAAGAGAAGACAGGACAGGGGGGAACACGAGGCAAGACAAGAGGCAGACAAGTCAGAATTGTGACGCGCAGTGCGGGGTGAGTGAGACAAGCTGGACGAGATAGAAGAAATGGCCAGAGTAGCTGAATTCGAAGATCGCGATTCATTGAAAAGGGCGTCGCTCTGGCAGCTCGGAGAATATGTGTATACATATATATATACATATACATACATACTATATATATAGTATATACATATATCTTCACACCACGTTTACGGCCCATCCCTACTGGCCCGTTCAGAAGTCCTGCCCATGAGAGCTTACGGGAAAAAAGGGACGAAGGGACAAACATAGTGAAACAGGTCTCGGCTGATCCATGGGGTCCGTGGCGAGGAGGAGGATGATGATGATGAGGAGGAGGAGGAGGAGGAGGAGGAGGAGGAGGAGGGGGACGGAGGAGGTAAGAGGACGACGGAGGAGGAGGAGGAGGAGGAGGAGAAGGAGGAGGGAGGAGGAGGAGGAAAGAGGAGGAGGAGGAGGAGGAGGAGGAGGAGGAGGAGGAGGAGGAGGAGCAGGAGCAGGAGCAGGAGAAGGAGGACACAAACCGTCTCTTGGGGCCTTCGTGGGACGCGCTTGGGCGCTCTTGGGGCCGTCTTGGGGCCACTTGGGAGCCCTGGAGGGCCTTTTTTTGAGTGGGGGCTATCGATCAACAGGAAAGAGTTCTACATTTGCCTCCCCCGTCCTCGGGCCATCCAAATCGCGTCTTGGGGCGCGATTGGGCCAATCCTGGGAGCACTCTGGGCCGTTGTTGGTACCTCTTGGGCCCCTTGTGGGGCTCTCTTGGGGCTCGCCTGGGCCATTCTGAGATTTCAATAGCGCATCGGAAGCGAAACGGCGAGAAGTTCTCGCCGTTTCGCTGCGTCGTGTGATGTCGCCGAAAACACACGACTCAGCTTTTCCCCATCGGAATAAATCTTTGGCTCGAGGGTTTCGTGAGCGCCGACAGAGCACGGTTTGCCGCTGCTGGAAGGGGGGGTGGGGAGGGGTCCGGAACCCGCCCCCCCCCCTTCCCCTTCTTTAGGACAATTATACGGCACCGCCCCCGGGGCCGGTTTTGTGAGGATGTCTCAAGCGAGGGCGCCGGTTTGGGATTCGTCGGCGGATCTGTCCGGGAACGGTGCCGGAGGCCGCTCTGGGCTCCTCTGGGCACCGCCCCCGGAGCCGGTTTTGTGAGGATGTCTCAAGCGAGGGCGCCGGTTTGGGATTCGTCGGCGGATCTGTCCGGAAACGGTGCCGGAGGCCGCTCTGGGCTCCTCTGCTTCCCGCGCCGGGGGTGAGGATGACGGTAGTTCCACAGAAACTCCCTCAAATGACAATGAGGAAGATGCTGATGATGCTGCTGATGGTGATGGCGATGACGATGACAATCATGATGATGATGATGATGATGATGATGATGATGATGATGATGAAGAAGATGATGATGATGATGATGACGGTGCTGGTGATGACGATGCTGATGATGACGACGGTGCGATGGGCGTGGTCCGTTAGGGCACGGTCGGTTCACCTCGTCACCTCAAAGTACTTCCCGACTAGCAACCCCATCCCAATCAACTGGCATGCGCAACTGGGTTCGTTTCCCAGGGTGAGCGAGCACAAAGACACCATGGGACCCACGGGCCACATTGCCCCACCCCTCAACCAATTGCGAAATGCCTGGCACCCATCTCCAGTTCACGGAGCGTGGCTAGCGCCTTTGCCACAAGCAACATGCCACATGGTTGGATCCACAAGGCGCGGGCCGGCTTAGCTGCCCCCACTCGCCGCATGCAGTTGACTCTGACGGTGTGCCCCGAAGAGTGTGTGTGGCGCTGGCACCATGACAGCAGGTGCCAGGCCTCCACCCTCGGGGTCCAGAGACGATGGAGGAGAGGATCGAGGACGAGGAGGACGCGCGATATTGAGGAGGAAGGTGAAGAAGAGGAGGCGGAGAGGGAAGAGTCGGAAGAGTAAGGAAGTTTCGCGAGGATCAGGAATAAGGGTGCAAAAGGGAACAGGAGGACACCGAAAACGAGGGGTTTCAGCGAGGAGGAGGAGGAGAGAAAGGGTTGGGCTCGCGACTCCAAGACTGTTGTCGCAACGAGAAAGGCCCGCAAAAATGAGGGCGACCAACCGCGGGCGGGTCAGCCAGTGACGCAACGGGGAGGAGGTTGGATCTTGGTATGGGGGGGGCCGAGGAGACGGTATGAGGGAAAGGGGGACTAGAATGATGAATAAGGCGCGGTGGAGGATCCAACAGGATTGTAATACTGATGACGACAACGACGATGACAGAGAATGACAGGAAACCCATCAGTGAGACAGTTGGTCTTGATAGGTGGCGCGCATGGAACAGTTCATACAGGTACATGGTACGCAATGTATATATACATATATATATGTGTGTGTACAATGTAAAGTTCTCACACACACACACACACACGCACACAAGCCATCGCGCGCGCTTCGCGCGCGCGCTCAGGTCCTAGCGCAGGGCGGGGGTTCACTTGAAAGCTTGGAGAGCGCTATCATGCACAAGCACGTGTCGTAGTCGTACCAAGCTTCTCCCTCATCGCAATTCCCTCCTCCCCGTCATCTGACTCAAAGTCATCATAAACATGATCATGGTCATGACCCTCAAAAACACTAACAACAATAGCAGCAAGAGGAGCAACGTTGGCCAACTGCTGCTGGACATACCGTCAAACCAAACTCGCATCTCAGCATCGTCATCTTCATTCCCTCCCGAATCGTCACCATCATCACCATCACCATCATCATAGGCATCATGCGTTCTCATCATCAGCAACATGATCATCACCATCATCCTCAACGTTAGCCGTATCGCCGTAGTCAGAATCATAATCATCAGCCTCAGCATCACCATCACCATCGACATCATCACCAGGACCACCAACATCATCACCATGTCGTCGTCGTAATCATCATCGCCGTCGGACGTAATCCTCCTTCTCATCGCGCCAATGATTCCAGATCGTCGCCTTGAACAGCTTGGACACATGTTGGTTCGCCCTGGAGGCCTCCTGAAGGCCTGTTGGGAGCCAAGTGGGAGCCTTTTTTTATTTTTTTTCACGGGAAGCTCAGAGATCGTGCAGAGGAGGAAGGGCGGCGCCGTGTGAAGATCCCCTGTGGCACAAACGGCCACGAACCGAAAGTTAAAGCACACACAGCGGGAATCCAGGAGGACCATCCTGAGTGGTCTGGGGCGGGGGCATCCTCCTCCTCCTCTTCCTCATCATCATCGTCATCAACATCATCATAGCCACCACTATCATCTTCAGCAGCATCAGCGCCATCATCACCACCATCACCATCATTATCAGCATCGTAAGGGCATATTCATTATCATGATCGTCACCATCGTCATCATCATCATCCTCATCATCACCCTGAACATCACAGTCATCATTCATCACCACCACCATCACTATCACCATCACAATTGCCATCGTCATCGCCATTGCCATCGCCATCACCATAATCATCATCAGCATCATCATCAGCATAAGCATTCGCATCAACCTCATCATCAGCATCATCATCATTGTCATCGTCATTGTCATCGTCATCGTCATCATTACCATCAACGTCATCATCATAACTCTCCTTACCATCGCAATCATGAGATCGTGGTCATGAACGTACGTATTCGCATCATGGCTTTCTGTTCGTCGAACAAATATTCAGTAAACGGCTTAAGGGAACATCAGGCCTACTGCCTTTCCTCTCGTCCAGTGCAGCAACAGCCGATTGGCCGTGCGGGATCTGCTCGGCTGCTCTACCTGCACAGTTCACGAACTTTAGGTCGGGCATGTCCCCCTACTGGCGGATGTTGGACGGAAATGTAAAAATGTTCCAAGCATGCCAAAACAATAGCCAAAACATCTCCGAAAAATCGTCCCCAGACTGTATTGTTTGACTATTTTCGAACATTCCTCATGTAGAGGGACCTGCCCGACTTAACACCAACTAGGTCAGGCAAACAATTCTACAGTCGGGGCGTTGATCTCCGAACGAGGCCCCCTCTTCCCATAAGCTCAACTTCGACTTCGCGCGGGAAACCTCAGGAACGTCCAGGGCAAACTGTGAAGCAACCGAGGAGCACCGAGCCCCTCCCCAACGAAAGCAGGTTCCTTCTTCAGCGCCCAGACCGCATCAGAGGGAGGGGCGCCTCGAACGGGATCACCTCTTCCCCCCGAGCGTGCGCTCGCGACGCTGAAGGGGTCGCCTTCGGGGCGGCCGCTGCTCTGATCGGGCAGGCGGCAGGCCGCAGGCCCGTGGCGCCCGCCTCCCGCGCCTCGCGAGGCACGGTCGCAGCATCCCCAGCGGTGTGTGCTTGAAACTGCTCGAGGTCCGAGCTCGAAAAGGAAGGGCGCTCTCCACTGCTAGGAGAGTGCTTCGAACACCGCAGGGACTAACAGCCCCGTGGGTGCAAGAACGCGAAGATGAGGGTCATCTCCTCATCTTAAGACGTCTCCGCGTCGACGGCCACGACGCCATCGCGCGTGTTGACCATCTTGCGGCAGCAGAGCGGACAGCTGTGGCTCTTCGAGGCGCACCGCGAGTCACTCCGTGCGAGCCAGCGCGCCGCGCAGAGCGGATGGAAGGCGTGCTTGCAAGGAAGCTCTGTCAAAACCTCGTCGGGGCCGACGCCCTCAAGGCAGATGGCGCACTGGTCGATCCCAGCCGCGCATGCGACCACGCTGGGGAAAGACGTGAACACCTTCTCGTCCTGCGAGGCCACCGATGGCAGCCGGACCATGAATGGACTCTTGTCGCTGGCCAGCTCGAAGGTCTTCCCCATGGTCGCAATGTCCTCGAACCAGTTGGGGCCCGCCGCTTGCGGGGGCACCGTGGAGACCCTCACCTCGAGGGGCCCCGAGCGGCGCAACTCCTCCAACAAGGGCCAATAACCGCCCACCCCGTTCACCTGCTCGATGACGAACCCGGGCCGCACGGCCGCGTCGGGGTTCTCCTTGTTCCATCTGTCGAGGACGTGGCCCTCCTCGACGCAGTACACCACAGCGCCCGTTGGTACGCTCCCGAGGCTCGCGCCGAGCGCGTCGCTGGCGCCCTTGTGCAGCCGGATGGTGAAGTGCTCGGGGCGCTTGCGCCCCAGAGTGCTCGCTGGAGGCTGCGCGTGCCTGGGGAGACCAAAAGGTGCCAAGACTGCTGCTCCTGAGACTTCTCCTCTGGGGTGCGTTGTGGCCATAATCTCGCGGCGAACCCAGCGGTGGCGACGAGGGCCTCCCAGGAGACCCCCCCAAATGGGAAGACGGTCGAAGGGCAGCGGTGTGGGTACCTCTGCCTCCCCCGAGTGCCTGTTCTGCAGAACCTGCTCGACTGTGCACCTCGCCTCGGCAATGATACTCGGGATGCAGCCCATGGCGCGCCGAGACGCGGCGACGCGTCCGAGCCCACGGTGGCGAGCAGCGCAGCCTCTGGTTTTTTCCCGGGCCGGCTCGAACCACAGCGGCTCTTGAGTCAGACTGTCCATACGGAGGAGCCGTCTGGGGGCTGTCTTGAGGGCTTCTCTGGGCATCCCAGTCAACCCATAGAGACGCCCTCGCCGTGTGTATACATATATATATATATATATATATATATATATTATATATATATATATAGATGTCTGTGTGAGAGAGAGAGAGAGAGAGAAGAGAAGAAAAAAAGAGAGAGAGAGAGAGAGAGAGAGCGCGCGCGCGGAACTCGCAAAGGGGGGGTCCCCCCCTTAGCTACCCCTCCCCCCTGGCCCCCCCATGCTGGAAACTCCCCCCCCCTCCCGCCCTTTTTGGCCCTCCCGGAAGCTACCCCCCCTCCCCCCTTTTGCCGCTCCGGAAGCTACACCCCTTCCTTTCCACAGGGGGTGGAGGGCTTAGCTACCCCCTTCCCTTGGCCACCCCTGCTGGAAGCTCCCCCCCGCCTCCCCCTCATTTTTGCCCCCCCCCCCCCCCCCCCCGGAAGCTACCCACCCCCCCCCTCTTTTGTCGCTCCGGAAGCTACCCCCCCCCTCCCCCACTTTCCAAAGCGGGGGGGCTTAGCTACCCCCCCCCTTTGCACCCTCCTTGCTGGAAGTTACCCCCCCTCCACTTCTTTTCCCCAAAAGAGGTAGGAAGCTTAGCTACCCCCTCCCCCCTTTGGACCCCCCCAGCTGGAAGCTGGCCCCCCCATCACCCCATTCCCCTCCAACCCGAACCCGAACCCTAAACACGAACCCTGAGCCCTGACCCGAACCCGAAACACTCACCCTATCCCTATCCCTATCCCTAACCCGTAACCCCTAACCCTAAACACTGAACCGCCCATGACCCTGGCTCACAACCCTAGACCTAAACACTAAACCCCCAGGACCCTGACCCTCACCTCTAACCCCGATGCCTAAACCCTAACCCAAAACCTAACCCTACCTACACCATATAACCTTAACCCGAAACCCTCGTCGTCGTCCGTCGTCGACGCCGTCGTCCGTCGTCGATGCTGTCGTCCGCCGTCGTCGTGGTCGTCTTCGTCGTCGTCGTCGTCGTCGTCGTACGACGACGACACCCCCCCTCCTCTCTCTTCCCATCGTATCGAAGATCTCTCGCGTCGACGACGACGACGACAACTGGCCCAAGACCGTTGTCTCATCCTAGATGAATCCGTTCCGAATGGACCCGGGCTCGCGAAAACGGTCCCCGGACGTCGAGATCGAGGAAAGCCCGCCGACCGACGATCGACGATGACCCAGGGCCAGAGAAAACGAGACCACGACCCAGGGGCAGAGAAAACGAGGAAACGAAGCAGGGTCCGAGAAAACGAGACCACAACCCAGGGGCCGAGAAAACGAGACAACGAGAAAACGAACCAGGGCCCGAGAAAACGAGAACGCGACCCAAGGGCCGAAGCAGGGCCTGAGAAAACGAAACAAAAACCCAAAGCCGAGAAAACGAGACAATGAACCAGGGTTCGAGAAAACGAAATAACGACTCAGGGGCCGAGAGCACGAGAAAACGACAAAACAAACCAAGGTCCGAGCAAACGAGACCACGACCCAGACCGAGAGAACGCTAATCTCGCTCCTAGAAAGCGAGAGCACGACGCGGGGGCAGAGAAACCGAGAAACGAGAAAACGAACCATGTCCCGTAAAAACCAAACCACGACCCAGGGGCAGAGAAAACGAGGAAACGAAGCAGGGTCCGAGAAAACGAGACCACGGCCCAGGGGCCGAGAAAACGGGAAAACGAACCAGGGTCCAAAATAACGAGCCAGGGTCAGAGAAAACGAGACCACGACCCAAGGGCAGAGAAGACGCGAAAACGAACCAGGGTCCGATACAACGAAACCACAGCCCAGGGGCCGACACATCGAGACAACAAGAGAACAAACCAGTGCCCGAGAAAACGAAAGCACGACCCAGGGGCCGAGAAAACGAGACAACGAGAAAACGAACCAGGGCCCGAGAAAACGAGAACGCGACCCAAGGGCAGAAGCAGGGCCCGAGAAAACGAAACAAAAACCCAGAAGCCGAAAAAACAAGACAATGAGCCAGGGTCCGAGAAAACGAGATAACGACTCAGGGGCCGAGAGCAAGAGACAACGACAAAACAAACCAAGGTCCGAGCAAACGAGACCACGACCCAGACCGAGAAAACGCGAATCTCGCTCCTAGAAAGCGAGAGCACGACCCAGGGGCAGAGAAAACGAGAAAAACGAGAAAACGAACCACGTCCCGTAAAAACCAAACCACGACCCAGGGGCAGAGAAAACGAGGAAACGAAGCAGGGTCCGAGAAAACGAGACCACGGCCCAGGGGCCGAGAAAACGGGAAAACGAACCAGGGTCCAAAATAACGAGCCAGGGTCAGAGAAAACGAGACCACGACCCAAGGGCAGAGAAGACGCGAAAACGAACCAGTGTCCGGTAAAACGAGACCACGACCCAGTGGCCGACAAAACGAGACAACAAGAAAACAAACCAGTGCCCGAGAAAGCGAAACCACGATCCAGGGGCCGAGAAAACGAGACAACGAGAAAACGAACCAGGGCCTGAGAAAACGAGAACACGACCCACGGGCCGAGAAAACGAGAAAACGATAAAACGAAATGGAGCCCGAGAAAACAACACAAAAACCTAAAAGCAGAGAAAACGAGACAATGAACCAGGGTCCGAGCAACGAGATAACGACCCCAGGGCCGAGAACACGAGAAACCGACAAAACAAACCAAGGTCCGAGCAAACGAGACCACGACCCAGACCGAGAAAACGCGAGTATCGCTCCTAGAAAACGAGACCACGACCTAGGGGCCGCCGAGAACACGAGAAAACAAGAAAAGGAATCAGGGCCCGAGAAAACGAGACTACGAACCAGGGGCCGAGAAAACGAGGAAACGAGAAAACAAACCAGCGTCCGAGAAAACAAAAGCAAAGCCCAGGGGGCGCCGAGAAAACAAGAGGCGAGAGCACGAACCAGGGTCAGAGGAAACGAGACGACGACGACGACGACGACGACGGCGGCGACGGCGGCGGCGGCGGCGGCAGCGGCGACGACGACGACGACGACGACATCTACGACCACGACGACGAAGACGAAGACGACGACGACGAAGACGACGACGAAGACTCCGACGACGACGACGACGACGACGACGACGACGACGGCGGCGGCGACGACGACGACGACGATGACGATGACGACGACCTTGGACCTCGAATTCCGCTCAAGCGTGTCCCCACACCCCTCCCGGTGTCCATCGGACGCGATTTGTCACTCCGACTCGATTCCGAGCAAACCCGGCGCGCAACAACGGACCCCTCAAACCAAAAACTAAGAAAAACCTCCTGGAACCTCAATGTGCGAAGGCCTGCCCACTGGCCCGGGCCTACAACGCGCGCCGCGCCGCGCGCACGCGACCCCGATAGCGCGCCCCCGCGCAACCCCGGCTGCAAAGGAAGGGGGGGGGGAGGTAGCTTCCGAAGCCCCCCTCCCCTTTTACACAGGGGAGCCCAGGCTTACTTACCTCTGGCCCCGAAAAAAGAGGAAGGGGGTAGCTTCGAAGCCCCCCCTCCTTTACCCAGGGCCCACCCAGCTCAAAAATGCTTCCAAAAGGGAAGGGGGGGGTCAGTTTCGGAAGCCCCCTCCCCTCTTTTGTAAATGGGAGCCCGGGCTTACCTCTGGCCCAGAAAACGGAGGATGGGGGGGGTAACTTCGAACCCCCCCCCTCAGCCAGGGCCCCCCCCAGTTCAAAAATGCTTCCCGAAGGGAGGGGGGGGTAGCTTCGGAAGCTCCCCCCCCCCTTTTCGAAGGCAGGGGGGTAGCTTGAAGCTGGGCCCCCCTTTTTATATTGAGTTCCGTGCGGGCGCGCTCTTTCATATGTGTGTATCTGTATGCCGTTCTTCCGCGCACGTGACCACGCCAATGGTCTGTTGGCTCGCTTCCCCCCTCCCTCCAACGTGCCACAGAATCGCCCCTGCCACAATCGCCCCAACAGCCACGCTACGCCTCACCGACAGCCTCGAGGGTAGCACAGGCACTGGGGGACAGCAGGGAACGTCGGCACACACGCACGGAAAAAATGATAATTTGCTAGACCTGATTGGGGTACGGTGAGGCAGGCAAGCAGTGAGCCGGCTTCGCAGAGATGATTTGCGGGTGGTACGCGGGTGGGGGCCAGACCAGCTCTGGAACGAAGACGGCGTGCGTTTGACGTTTCACGGGAAAAATGTACGACCATAGAAGCATGTCGCTCGTACCTTGAGGAGCCCAGACGGGTCCCGCCGAACAGACCTCGAAGGGCGCTCTAGAATGCTCCACAAGGGTCTGGGCGGCACGCCGTATATTGTAATGATGCCTCCCTAGAGCCTCTTCACTGTCGAGAGGGCCGAGAGCGGTGGCGGTGCGGACAATATTATATATGTGATAAGCCCGCACAATCCTCTCAGCGATCTCGGGCGAAGGGTGACCATCGAGCCCAAGACGCGTGGAGGGGCAAACAGGAGGCGGGTCAGGATGGTATACAAGCCTCCAAAGGACAGGGCAATGAATATAGTGCAACATGTCGTCTCGGCATTGGGCGCATTGGAATCTACACAGGCCGATCTCTGACGAGTGCAAACGTGCGCTGGTGAGCCAACCTCCTACAATCGTCTTCAGGACAGCACTTTGCCATGCTGGAGGGCCTCCGTTGCGAATGACATCTCTGAGGGCGTCCCAGAACGACTCCGAAAATGGGAGCTCCCACGAGGCCATGCGCTTAGCAAGAGTGAGGTGGAGGACGTCGGGGTAAAGAGCGAGGCGAAGAGAGGAGGAAAGGGATCTCTGCACCTTCACGCGCCCCAGTTCTGAAGCTTCGGCGAGGGCGGTCAGGGCAGTGCGGGCGGCCGAGGCGTGAGCCTTCAGAGGGAATGCGGCCCTGCTGGCCTCAGAAATGTGGACCGCGATCGGTTTTGTTCTCCAGAAGACGGGCGACCACCAGCCAGAGCCCACCTCCGCGAGGCTGCCGTGGGCGAGCGTCGCCTCATGCAGCGCCTTGAGCAGGGGCGACCAGTTGGTGACCGTGCTGATGGCTGTGCGCATGCGGGAGGCCAAGCTGAGGACTTGCATGCTGGCAGGCCGCAGCGTCGACCAGCTCCCGATTCCCAGGAGTCCAGCGAGCGAGATCGACTGCGGTGGGAGATGCCGGATCTCGTGCCAAGCCCAAGCCTCGCGCCTGGACAGGGCGCGGGGCAGCGGCACCAGCTGCAGCAGGTAGCTGAGGACCGTGAGCACGCGCGAACTGTAGATCACAGTCGCGATGTGCACCGGCGCTCCCTCGCGAGCGAGGTCGCGGATGCGATGGGTCCATTTGGCGCCAGCCTCCTGCCACGCGTCATCGATCGTGGCTCCAGGGCCCAGGATATAGCCCAGGTACTTGGCGAAAGGAACAACGTCCATCTGCTCCCAGCCAGGCAGCTCCAGGGCGAGCCACTCCTTGATGTTTGTAGCCAGCTCCACGGAGAATGCGGCATTCAAGGGGACGACCTTGCACTTGGCCAGCTTCAGGGCTAGACCTGCCAGTGCGCGTGCCGCAGTGAAGACCCTGCGCAGGCGGAGAAGAAGCCTGCGATCCTGCAGGACCGTGCCGACATCGTCCGCACAGACGCCCACCACGGAAGACTCCCACTGCTCGAGGATGTGCTCCATGTGGGCCACGAAGGGGTTCATGGCTACAGCCCGCAGGGGCCCTGAGAGCGGGCAGCCCTGAGCGATGCCCGCCGTGACTAGCGTGAAGCGGCGCAGCTCGCCCTCCATGGATACGAAGGCCTGCGGCAGCCAGCGCATGCCCATGATGAGCTGGTAGAGGCCGCCCTGGAAGACAGCCCGCAGCAGTGCTGCGCGCAGGAAGGAGACGGCGAGGGAAGGGGGCCCACCTCATGGCGATGATGTGTTTGAAGGATGTGCCGTCAGGAGGAGCCGCCTGGGCCCGACGATCGAGATCGGCGAGTCGGCGTTCAGAGAAGATGTTCTGCTCAGCCGCGAAAGCCACTGCAAAGTCCGAAGGGCTCGAGAGGGAGACCGAGTTGCTGGTGAGCAAGAGGTGCTCGGCAGCGAGCGGTGACGATGTGGCCAGGCGCTCCGCCAGCTTGAGATCGTCCCTCCAGACCGCTCTGGCGATCGAGCGGAAGATGAGCAACTTTGAGTCGTTGTCATGAGCTCCGTGCTTGAAGACACTGTCCCGCGCCCGACGAGCAGCTTCACGCATGAGTCGCTTATTCTCAAGTCTCCGCTGATAAGGATGAATAACATGCCATTGAACATGACTGGCTAAGAGCCGATCCTGCCTCGCATACTCGGGACTCTTGAAGATGTAGCGTGGGATCGGTTGCGTCTCGCTGTCCATCGGCGGCCGGCCAGCAAAGGTAACCACAATGGGTGCATGATCACTAAGACCAATCTCATGAAGCCGTTCAGGGAGGTCACGCGTTGAGAGCGTGACATGCCACTGTATCGCCAGCCACGAAGGAGAGGCTAAGAACGCTCTGTCAACCTGCGACAGCTTCGGCGGCGAATCTTCCTCTTGCCAGAAGTGTGTGGGGAGCTCATTGTCAAGCTCGACGTAGTCAGAGAAGATATCATTCCAGCGGCACTCCAGTGGCCGAGGCGCAGCATCGTCCATGCGCACGAGGCCCTGGTTGATGAGGGGGGGCTGAACCAGCAGGGGCGGCGCCGCCATGATGTTGAAGTCGCCGAGCAGCAGCAACGTGACCATCTTCGGCGCCGACTGGGCCATGGCGATGTCAGAACGAACACGTCCTTCGATCATAGTCATCTCGTCGCTACTGATGCCGAAGTTGTGGACGTTATAGATAATGAGCGATTGAGAAGGGGTGTCGGGTGCAGGGCCTGAAACACGGAGTCGCTGAACTCGGCCAGTGACAAGAATCTCATGAGAGTATCTGGGAGCATCAGTAGCTGCGAAGCGCCCAGGGAGAAGAATAACAGTTCCACCAGTGTCACGCCTGTCGCCGAAGTTCATGAAGACCTGAGCGTGGACATGATGTCGGTGAAGTTCTTGCATACATTCAATGGCATTACCATGCACCTCCTGAATGCACATCGCTGTGCCCTGTCCGAGGTAAGACAGCAGATGACGAAACTTGCGGTCCCTCGTGGTAGCATCATGATGCACGAGCGCACGAGCATTCCATGACCCGATCGCTGCGCACTCGCGAAACTCGCCAGGATCTCGCCAGGGAGCGAAACGAGTGCTAAATCGCCCGCTGAATCTTCTCGGTGGAGCCGAAGACTTCGTCGAATGACTGCTTGATGGCGTCGCGAGGGAGGTTGCGAGCATGCGCAGCACGATAGTTCCACTCAAGGATAGTCGGGTCCTCTGCCGTTTCGCCCACGACCAGCTTGATGACGGGCTGCGAGCCGTCGGCGATGACTCCTGCATGACGGTTGGCACGCCAGCGCCCTTCCACTCCAGCGTCTCGCACGAGCTCGAGGAGACGCTTCGTCTGGATCTCGCGGCGGATGGCCTGGGGAGATTTGTCCAGGCCGACGAAGATGGGCACCTGCGTGCCTCCCTCGATAGAGGCCGCTGTGAAGCGGCGCCATGAGCCATCCTTCTTGAGCTTCTGGAAGGCCGAGACGACACGATGAGCAGCCAATCCCTCAGCGCCCCGCATGCGGAGAATATGGCGGCGGCCAGGGGATGCCCCTCAAGCGACCAGTGCTGATCCTCGATGTCGGTGTCCGCCAGCCAGGGACGCACACTTGCGAGGACCACCTCCGAGGTGACCGCTTCCTTGGCCGTGATGACGAAGATGGACTTGTCGGGCTCCCTGCACCAGTCCGCCACGTCCCCGAGGTGCTGGGCAGGTGCTGCCGCCTCGCACGCTGTGACCACCTTCTCCAGCTTCTCCAGGGCCTCGCGCATCTCCTGCTGGTCTCTCTGGATGCGCGACACGCCGCGGTCGAGATCCTGCAGGTGCTGGTCGATCTGCGCATTCTTGGCGGCCTGGCGCTCGCCGAAGTCGCGGAGGGCGGCCGTGGTGGTCGCGGCGATGTTGGCGGACATCTTGTTGTTGGCATCGGAGACGTAACCGACGATAGAGTCGCGCATGGCACCCAGGATTTCCTCCAGCTCCGAGTGCAGGACAGGCCCGTCCACCCCCGCAGCAGGAGCAACAGCAGGCCGAGGAGAACCAGGGGCGCGGTGAGGGTGAGCTCTGTCACGGCCGCTGCTACGTGGTGTCCTGGGGGTCGCAGGAGGAGTGGCGGCGATCGGCGTGGCCGTACCTTGGCACTCGTTCCCACGGGCACGCCAGGGGTCAGCATTGGCGGACTGGAAGGGGTCGTCTGTGCCTGCACTGCGACTGCGGTCATCGCCCTCACGCTCGCGCGGGCTGCCTCGCCGGCGTTGCCCAGTGCCACACCGCCAGAAGCTTTGCCAGCCTTGCCGGGCCGCCGAGACAGAGAGGCAGCGCCATCGGGCATCCCACCCGCAGGAGAGAAGCGGACGGGGAACGTGGGCGGCGGATGCTGGGGCCCAGATGGGCAGCGCGAGTCTCAATTGGTGAGAGAGTCCTAGGCCTCAAAGCGCGAACCCCCTCGCGCTCATCAGTCGCCGACCGAGGCCGACTCGCGGTCGTCGGGCGGTTCATAGCCTTGAGCCAAAATGGCTACGGACGACCATAGAAGCATGTATACGGGCATACCGTTCTTCCGCGCACGTGACCACGCCAATGGTATGTTAGCTCGTTCCCCCCCCCCCTCCAACGTGCCACCGAATCGTCCCTGCCACAACCACCCCGACAGCCACGCTACGCCTCGCCGAGAGCCTCGAGGGTAGCACAAGCACTGAGGGACAGCAGGGAACGTCGGCACACGCGCAAAGAAATGTGGAACCTGCTACACCACAATATCTCTCCTTGGCTCCCAACAGGGCCGCGTGAAAAAAAAAAGCGGTTTGACTCTCCCCCCCCGCTCTAATTGCAAAAAGCCTGGCCTCTGCTGTTCTCTACGCGCATATCATGCACTGAGACACGCGAGCAAGAGGATGCATCATTTAGAACAATCAATAAAAGCTTGCAGCAACGCAAGGCCGTACTGCACGGCTGAGGCGGCCTGGTCCTGGGGCCGCACCTTCGCCAGGTCGGCCACCGCGCCATCTATGTAGGTGCGCGCGGTCACGAACGGCGCCCAGCGGCCTGCAACAAGCGCGGCCTCCATGGACGACGACATCACATTTTGTATATACAAAATCAACAAAAAATCTCGGACGCGCCTCCGCGGCGGCATACGTGCCACGAGAGGGGGCCTGGAAGGCGCAGCCCGCGTGCCAGGGCCGCCCGCGCGCTCTCCAGCTGCGCTGGCGACCTCCACGACAGGGGCTCTGTTTGACGCCGATGCTCCACTACCAGCCGCAGCATCTCCTTTGTTACGCGCGAGCGGATGACGACAGCCTGGGCACTATCCTTGCCCGCCGTCGTCTTGGACGTGCAGATCCGCAGGACAATGACTTCGCGTCCGTCCAGCACGTCTTCTCCGCGCAGGGCGAAGCCCTCGCCTCCACGCAATAGGCCCTCAAAACTGATGAGAAGCAAGCATCCTACGTCGAACGCGGCTGCCTCTGCTGCCGGGCCAGCCATGGCCCCGACAATCTCAGGAGCGAAAGGCAGCGCTCGCCTCGCGGGCTCTGCGCGGCGCAATGCTTTCAGCAGCGCCCAGGACAAGTCCAAGCGCCGCCGCAGCTTGGGCACGGCAAAGACCACGGCCACGACCGTGCTGTTGGCGAGTGCGATGCCAGCTCCCTCTCTCCACTTCGCCTTGAGATAATTGGCGGCGGGGCTGTCGGCGTCCTCGCCGTCGTCGCCGAGCACGCCGGTGTCCTGGGGGCTCACCCCGTAGTGCCCCAGGAGCTCTCGGATCGCAGCGGCATGCCTCCTGCGGGTCGCCGCGCCGATCCTCAGCGACGCCAGCGTCTGCGCACGCGGGCTCCGTCGCTTCGCCGCAGCAGCGGCGGCCTGTCTGGGCGCGCGACGGCTGGCCCTGCGTCGCGCCCCCTGAGCCGCGACCCACGCCACAGCTTCCTCGACGGCTCGTCCGCGGGGTTGTCCTCCGAGACGACGTAGCCGATGAGGGGGTACGTGTCCGCCGCGATCGCCATGGCCATCCAACCCTTGAGAGCGGGCTGCAAGCGGCGGCTGCTGCTGCGGCACTTCGCCACGATGGCCGCAACCACCTGGCTGTCGACGAGGTGGAGCCAGCGCGAGCCATGCAGCGCGCACGCGCGCGCCCTCCAGCGCAGGGCCGCCAGCGCCGCCTGCAGCTCGCGCGCGTTGATGTGCGCGCGCCTCTCGCGCGGCCATGCCATGCTCAGGACCGCCCGCCATCGCCGCGCGGAGGGGTCCAGGCTCGACCGCGGACAGCCTCTCGCACGGTAGGGCAGGCCGCAATCCAGGCGAATGTCCGAGCCACCCTTCTCGGCGCGGCTGAGGTACTGCAGGCCTAGGCGTTGCGACTCCTCCGTTTCGGGGAAGCCAGCGCTGGGCTCGAAGGTCCCGCACTGGTCCCAAGTCTCGCGGCACTCCCCCATGTGCGCGAGCTCCTGGATCGTCAGCGGCCGCGCGAGAGCTCCTTCTGGATAGTAGAGCTTATGAGCGCCCTAGCGGTGGCTCCAATAACGCCTCTAAAGCTTCCAAGAGCCCCCAACGAGGGCCCTTAGAGGCGCCCAGACGGCCCCAAGAGGCGCCCAAAGGGCCTCCTGGAGGCTCCTAAGAGGCCTCCAGAGGATCCCTAAGGCACCCAAGACGCTCAAATATTGCCCTGGGCCCGCCAAAATGCCCCCCAGACGCGCCAAGAGGCGTTTGAAAGCCTTTCCAAGAGTCATCCGAGGAGACTCCGAGACGCATTCGAGAGGCTTTAGTTGGCTCTTCTGTTCGCCCTTTTCCTCCTCCTCCTCCTCCTCCTCCTCCTCCTCCTCCTCCTCCTCCCCCTGCTTCTCCTCCTTCTCCTCCTCCTCCTCATCCGCTTGCTCCTCCTCTTCCCTCGTCTCGAATCCTTCTGCTCGCCCTCCTCGTCCTCTTCCTCTTCCGTCTCCCCCTCCTTCTCCTCCTCCTCCTCCTCCTCCTTATCCTGCTCCTCCTCATCCGCAGATTCCTCAACCTCCTCCTTCCTCCATCATTCATTCGCCTCCTCCTCCTCCTCCTCCTCTCCCTCCTCCTCGCCCCCCTTTTGCTCCCACGCTCCCATGGATGGGCGTGGTGGGCGTCGGTTTGGCATGGGCTGGTGGGGACAAGCGAAGCGTCACGAACTGCGAGCACCTGCCGTGCACAACGGGCGACTCCCGAGGGTCACTTCCCCGACCCTCTTGCCCCCAGCGGCGGTGGCGACCGCTGGCCCCTTGTGCGCGCTCGGCATTGCACGCTCGTCGATCCACGGAAGGGGCCCTGGGACACGCACATAAATGAACACACATAACAGCCCTCACGAGGATCGTGGCCTCCGAGGGGGGAGCCGCAATCGACTGCCCCCCCTCCCGCCCCAAGAGGCCCCCAAGTGAGGCCCTGGGGGCCCCCAAGACGCCGCCAAAGAGCCCCAAGAGACTCCCAAGAGGTCCCCAAGAGGCCCCCAAGAGGCCCCCAAGAGGCCCTAAAGAGAGCTCCAGGGCCGGCGGCATGAGCGAAGCGATTCAATAAATGAACACACATAACAAGATTCGCCATATTTTCTCATACTCCCTGGGTTCTCGTCTTCCACCCCCACTTCCCATACTTTCCCATATCTTCTGGGTAATCGACGATTCATTGTGTCTGTGATTTTTTCCTCTCCTGATCCGCGTGGGGCCGCACTCTCGAGGGGGGAAGGGCGCGGAAGGATGGAGGAAGCGGCCGGCAGGCCCTCGTCACTCTGCCGACTCTCAACAACATGTTACAGCGTCGAAGCCGTCGACGACTTCCGCCCGTCCCGACGGCGCCTCTTCGAGGAGACCTCCCTGCGGACGTAGACAGCGTCCTCCAGCACCAGCGGGATTCGTGAAGAGGGGGTCACGTCGCTGACCCCGTCTTCTACGACATCCAATTTCAACACTGCGGTCGCAGATATTTCGCGGACTCCCATGCCCATGTGAGGCAGCATAAGACGGACATTGAATGCCGCCTTGCCAGGCTGTTCATCATGCTCACACTCGCCAAACTCATGATCATCCATAATATTGTTGTAGGCTGTCGATGCCCACTCCGCAAACGAGTCGCGATTGACGACCCACTGCAGCAGCCCTGCGCCTTCGCATACAGGTCTACTCATACTCAAAAACTCGGCGGAGCACTGCAAGATAGGCAAATCGTTGGCTTCTGGGTTGTTGTGGACAGTCATTCCCTCGCACGGGGTATCGATCAGTACGCTAGAAGAGGAGCTCCCTGAGAGGCTCATGGAATCCTCCGAGATTCCTGCGAAAGTGTTGCAAGGCAGTGCCACCGGACTATCGCGAAGCTTGCCCTTAGGCGGCGCCCGAAGCTCTTCGGAATCTTCCTTCAGACCCACTATGTGAATCGGCTTGTCGTCTATGTCAATGCCCTGGGCGTGGAATAGCTAAAACTTTACAAGCATGCCCCATGAATCTTTCAAAGAAACGTGAACCGTGCTAGAAGAAGACATTGGCCGCTTACATAATGCAGTCAGACGGTCCTTCTCGGAAACGTCGAAAGCTAGATCAACAAATGAGACACCAACACTCAGAATTGTGGCCGATCTGAAAAGAAGAATGGCAAGGTGTGCGGCCCGATTCAAACCACATGATCGTGCGACATATGCACCACCGCGTCGCACACACTTGACAAGAATCCTCCCGCTATGGACTCAACACTTCGCGAAGTCTTCGCCTCCCAAATTGCCAAAAACTCAGCGTCGCGGGACTTTCTGACGGATGCTGTTATGGCGTGCATAAGGAGCGACACACTCAACTCCTGACGAGTGTCGGCTGGTTCGTACACTGGCGAAACAGATGCGACGTACATACGACCCAAAAGAAGAGCCAGTCTCGGTCTGCAATGAACAACGCTCACTGCGAGACGTTCACAGATTCTCACTGGGCCGGCTTTCAAGAAAGCGATGCTGTTTTTGGCAGTGGTCGCAAGGTATAAGACGACAGTATAAAAGAGAACATGGAACAAGAACGCGACACTAGGGGTGAACAAACGTGGTTTAAGAGTACCTGCCATTAAGAATGTAGTCAGTGCCACGTTGCCGAGGCACGCCGCTGAGGACATATCATGTTGCACCAGTTGAACTATGTTATAGCAGAAGGCAAAGGCGAGTCCCCCAAACCACTTGCTCTGAGAGTCGTTTGTCTGCCATATCCTTCAACTGACGATGTAACGGGTGCGGTGGTGACATGAAGAGCAGCCACTTAGCCGTGGTATTCAAATGATCATAAACCGAGCTCCACCGCGGTAAGAGGCCACACAGCCCAGGGCTGCGAAACCGCCAGACAATGACAACGAGCGTCAGGCAGTTGAAGGGGATACGTATGACAAGCCAGATGCGCTCGTCCAATATGGTCGGGCCCCAAATGGACGCTGCCCTGGGCTAAGCGCGAAGTTCGCTTCGCTGAGGTACGCCTGGATGTGGGCCTCTCGCTTAAGCTAGAACGGCCATAGAGGCACTCTTGGGCCGTCTTGGGAAACTCGCGGGCTGTATTCGGGCCTCCTTGAGCCGTCCGTAGGTCATTCAAGAGGGATTGCAAGACGATGTCTGAAACATCCTTTTCAACATGCGAAATTGTAGGTCTATCATGTGTTCAAGGATGTCCACGGCGCTGCTATTTTAACCCGCCTGGCCAATTCAACCTGGCTCGCCTTTTCAACCCGCCTGGGCCTTTGAACCCGCGTGGCCATTTTGACCCGAATGTCCGCTTCAAACTGCATGGTCAGTACGACCGCGAGACTGTTGACATCGGCATCGCCATTTTAACCCGCCTGGCAGTGCTGACATCCTCGGCCGTTTAAGCTCGCCTGGTCGTTTCAACCCGCATGGCCATTGTAACCCGCTTGGCCGTTTCACAAGCGTGGGCATTTTGACTCACCTGGCAATGTCAAGTCGCTTGGCCGCTTTCTCTCGCCAGCCGATGTATCTCGCCTGGCCGTTTCGAACCCGCCTGGCCGTTGTAACCCGCGTGGCCGTTTTAACCCGCCTGGCCGTTTGAACCCGCCTGGCCGCTTTCACTCGCCTGGCCATTCTAACCCGCCTGGTCGTTTGAACTTGCTCGTCCGCGTGAATCCGCCTGGCCCTTTGAACCCGCCTGGTCGTTTCAACCACCTGGCCGTTTCAGCTAGCCTGAAAATTTCAACCCGCGTGGCCATTGGAACCGGCCTGGCCGTTTTAACCTGCCTGGCCGTTTGAACCCGCCTGTTCACTTTAACCCGCCTGCTCATCTTCATCCGCCTGGTCGTTTCAACGCGCTTGGCCGTGTTAACCCGCCTGGCCAGCCTCGCGGGCCGTATTCTTGGAATGATCCCAAGACGACGCCGACAACATCTCGTGTTTTATGGGGATGTCCCAAGCGAAATCGCAATGTTGGGCACGAGCGATACCAAGACGATGTCGACAGCATCCCGTTGTTAGAGGACGTCCCCAACGAGATCGCAATGTTGGGCAAGAGCGATACCAAGACGACCTCGACTGCATCTCATGTGTGTTCAGATGTCCCTAGGAAATCGCCGTGTCGGGCAAGAGTAACGTCGACAACATTTCAATTGTGTGAGGTTGTCCGTAGCGTAACCACCAGTGTGGCCAAGACCGAAGCCAAGACGGCGTCGACAGCATTTGATTTGCGTGAGGACCTCCCTCGCACAATCACTATTTTAGGTAAGGGCTATGTCGGCTACATCCCAGTTGCGTGAGCACGTCCCAAGCGAAATTCCATGTGTTGGGGCGAAAGTGGGGCGTCTTAGAGCAATGCAATTGGGCTATGTTGAGCCGTCTTAGTACCTCCCGAAAACGATCCCAAGACATCTCATGTGTTTGAGGATGTCCCAAACAAAACCCCCACGTTGGTCAGTATATCCCCTCCCGTGCACATGCCAAGCCCCTCACTCCCCCTAGCTCAATTCCTTCCGACGACCGGATCGCGCGCTAAGCGCGCTTTCCGCCACCCCTGCAAACTCCCCCTAATGTCACTTCTCCTGGCTACGAGATCCAACGCTATGCGCGCTTTCCGCCATCCGCCACCCCCTTTGCTCTTGCCATCGATCGGACGTGTTTGTCCCGTGCATTTTTCTGTCTCATGCGAGTTTCTTTTGCTCGGTGATGCAGGATGCTCCTCGGTCCCCACCGTGAAATTAGCCTGGCGAAGGACCCAACCATATGCAGCTGTGAATACCGCAAGTATAAATATCATCTTCGCCCGCGTTCCCTATGGGGCCACGAACCGTGTGAGGGGCGTGCCGACATGCGTGGCGGGGCACACAACGCGAGCGAAGACCAAAAGACTGTGTGCGAGAGACTGAGAGCGCGTGAGTCTGATTGTGGATGAGTCTGCGCGCACGTGAGTCTACGTGCATAAATGTCGACGCCCATGTCGGCGCGCCTCTCACGAAGATCGCTCCCGCTTCCTTCCCGTTCTTCTTCTCCCTCTTTGCCTGTGCACGTCCACGTCCAAGGCTGCGGGCGCGGCGCCGCACAGAGTCCCCGTGACGCGAGATGGTCGCCCCGAAAGGGTCCCGGCGACGCGCGCGGGTCGTCCGCTGCGCGGAGCAGAGCGAGCAGGCTGGCTCCCGCTCGGGATGCGCGGCCCGAAAACGGCCTCAACACGTCGAATACGACGAAAAACCTCCAGAAACCGAAAGTCGCCGCCATGCGAACTCCGCCACTGGGCCGCCATGCGAGTTCCACCACGGAGACCTTAGGTGGAGCTCCCTATGGGGCCACGAAGCGTTTGAGGGGTGAACCAAAATGGGGCGGCGCCGCTGGGACCTTAGATGGAGCTCCCTATGGGGCCACAGCGCGTGTGAGGGGTGTGCCAAAATGGAGCGGCGGCGCCATGCGGGCTGCGCCACTGGGACCTTAGGCGGAGCTCCCTATGGGGCCACGAAGCGTCTGAGGGGTGTGCCAAAATGGAGCGGCGCCGCCATGCGGGCTGCGGACCTTAGGTGGAGCTCCCATTGGGGCCACGAAGCGTGTGAGGGGTGTGCCAAAATGGGGCGGCGGCGCCATGCGGGCTGCGCCACTGGGACCCCAGATGGAGCTCCCTATGGGGCCACGACGCGTGTGAGGGGTGTGCCAAAATGGGGCGGCGCCGCCAGGAGGGCCGCGCCACTGGGACCTTAGGCGGAGCTCGCTATGGGGCCACGAAGCGTGTGATGGGTGTGCCAGAATGGAGCAGCGGCGCCATGCGGGCTGCGCCACTGGGACCTTAGAGGGAGCTCCCTATGGGGCCACGAAGCGTGTGAGGGGTGTGCCAAAATGGGGCGGCGGCGCCATGCGGGCTGCGCCACTGGGACCTTAGGTTGAACCCCCGATGGGGCCACGGAACGTGTGAGGGGTATGCCGAAACAGAGACATGCGGAGAGCAAAGGCAATGGGAGAGGAGAGGAGAGGAGGGAGGAGGAGGAGAGGAGGAGGAGGAGGGGGAGGAGGAGGAGGAGGAGAGGAGGAGGAGGAGGAGGAGGAGGAGGAGGAGGAGGAGGAGGAGGAGGGGAGGAGGAGGAGGAGGAGGAGGAGTAGGAGGAGCAGGAGGAGGAGGAGGAGCAGCAGGAGGAGCAGGAGGAAGGAGGAGGAGCAGGAGGAGGAGGAGGAAGGAAGGTGGGTGAAACGCAGGGAGGGAAGTGGAGGGGGGAGGGGGAGGAAGAGAGGAAGAGGAACGCGGGGAACCGTCTCATCAAAACGGGGACCCAACACCACAGAATAGTTGGGAAACGTACACGTCCGAACGATGCCAAGTTTGCGCCACCCCCTCAAACTCCCCCCCATTCACTTCTTCCGGCTACCGGATCCCACGCTACGCGCGCTTTCCGCCATCCGCCGTCCCCTGTGCCTGTCACCGGGGTGCACGTCGTGCTGGTCTTAGCTCGCCATTGCTCGGACGTCGTGCATGATCCCGTCTCGCGCGCGCTTTTTCTTGTTCCAAGATATTCCTCGATGGCCCTCGCCGGGAAAGAAACATGCACGCGTCCGAGCGATGCCAATGTGCTTTTCTCACGGGGGCACACGGCGCGTGATGGCTTTAGGGTGGCTGGGCTGGAGCCCTTCTTGAACAAAAGTAGGCTACACGCAAGAGTGACCCTGGGTAAGAGTGACCTTTGGTGCGCGGCTTTTGGGGGGCCGCGGGGGGACCAAACTCAGGCGCGCAAGACGCTACTATCGCATCGCAATCGGTGATCGGGGGACCCCATTGTGCCCGCACCAAAGGTCACTCCGGCGAAAGGTAACTCTTACGTGTAGTCGAACAAGCCCCTGGCGGGTCTTGGCCGATAGGGCCGGGCCATCCGGCGAGCCGCGCCGAGGTGCACGGTTTCCCCTGGGGCCTTGGACGACCCCAGGAGGAGGAGAAGGAGGAAGAGAAGGAGGAGGGGGGGGAGGAGGAGGGGAGGGAGGTGGAGGAGGGGGAGGGGTAGGAGGAGATGGAGGATGATGATGA